CTGTTTGTTTTTTTCTTGTATATTTATTTTTCTCTCTTTTGAAAAATATGGTAATTAAAAACGAACGTTGGAATTGTTGGAAATATAGAAAATGTTGTTAACGATCGAAATGCAATCAATAAACGCAAAGGTCGCTGAAGTGTAATATTTTTGTTATATTTCTTATACATTTTCTTTTCCTATTGTTTTACATAAAAACTTCGATCGCGATTGTTATTATCGTCTTGTAAAGAAGAAATATGAAAAACAATATAATTTTCTTGAAATAGATACCTTCTTATATAAAAATATAAGCACACATCAAAGTGCATACATATACATACACACATATATATATGTACTATATGTAAGTAGCTGTAATTCGAAATGTCGATTTGCATAACACGTTGTATCGACCTAGTTATGAGAACGGATGTAAATAATGTGATACAAAAAAAAAAGTGGAAAAAAAGTATAAAGTTTTAAGAATAAACTGATGACAATTTAAAATTTTTGCGCCATTGGGGATCAACGCGCTTTGTGTGGCCCTCATTCTAAAGAAACGCGAACGAACAAAAGCTTTTCTTTTTTACGAATCCCCATATTGGATAAATCGTTAAAAAAAAAGAAACGGAAAAAAACGAAGAGAACAATAAAAAATGCATAATAAAATAGGTTCATGATTTATTTACTTTTTATTCGTGTTGCAATCTGTACACCTAATAATGTTCAAGTCATTTTATTTTTCACGCTGTTATATACGGTATCCGGTCGAATAACATATACGAGCAGACAAGAGAGAGAGAGAGAGAGAGAGAGAGAGAGAGAGAGAGAGAGAGAGAGAGAGAGAATATAATGTACTTTTATTATGTATCCACTATATAATATATATAGTATTCACACATTATATATATTATCTACTATATATATATATTATTATACTAGAACTATTATAGTAGATATATATTCTATATATATAGTAGATATATATATATATATATTTTCTCTCTCTCTCTCTCTCTAAGTACGAAATAATTTTTGTCTACCTCTGTTCCTGCATTTCTTCTACGAAAAACATTGCATTATTCTATAGGAGATCCTGACTACTACTCCTTTTTCGTGGTAATGCATAAAATTGGTTGTTTTTTTTTTTTTAACATATATTTTTTATTTCATTTTTTTTTTATTTTAAAGAGAATGTGGGGACAAAACCTTCGGCAATGTTATGCGTACGTATGTAAAAACATATTTTGTAAATTTTTCTACCGGCGAGCTTTAAAATAAATAATATAATTTTGTTGAGTGAGAAGCATCCGAAAACAGCATTTGGCGACAAAAAAATGTTATAGCACGAATATAAATGATATAAACGTAGCTCGCATCAAGAAGTACGTGAATATTCAAGTCACGGATAATACTCTCTGGTCATATAATTTTATATAATTTTTTTTCTATTTTTTCCTTTTAATTTTCATTTATTCTTTTTCTTCGCGTAAAGTTGAACCCATCTTCGTTCGTATGAATTGCGAAAACACGATTGCACTTTCTTTTTTGTTTTTTCTTAATTGAAAATTATTTCTCGATTTAATCGTATTATAACGTACCGTTGATTTTTATTTCATAAATTGAACACCATCATTTATACATACAGTATTAGTATATAT